ACGCTGGGTAGAATCGGGCCATATTAATAAGGTAGGTTTTTCTGGTGTTTTCCATTTAATTTCAATGATCAGTCAGACCTATATACACTACCCATCTCTCTGGGTATGCAGGATTTCAAGTTTAGCTGTTTGGTTCAGTTTGCATTGCTTTGTTCCTTGTGTATTATGTATTTGACAAGGACAGATCGGTTGGATATTTATTGAAAAGTAATGAATTGGGAGAACAATTAAGTATGTAACTTAACCATACTGGCCCAAGTTTGCCTTCATACTATTCATACCAAAAAAAAGTGTCCTCATGTATTACATCATGACATCAAATACATGTGTTGACCCTGGTGTGGGAAAGATAACACGTTTTTTATTAGGGACTCAAAGGACGGACCAAAGGCACTATTAAAATACTTGAGAGCTTCATGAAATACAACTAGGCCAAGCTATTTTTATGTATATTTCATTATGACTTACTCGTGTGTATAATTTATACTACAATATAATTCAGGCTCATTTTATCACGATTAATTGCTTTTTTAATTCGCCCAAATCTGGTGTATGAACCCCTGAAGTACTATCGTTACAACGTCTTTAGAGATGGTCAGGGTTTCAGACACATGAATTACAGCACTGCTGACCTGTACTGTATCTTATTTTATAATCCCATTTTGCTAAATATCTGATTAATTCTTTATGGCTGAAATTCCCCAGCATGGCAATTTGAAACGAGAATGTCCTTGGCTGTGATCCACAGTGATAGTGTATGAAATGAGCACATCCACTGACTCGGCCTACTTCTGATTTCCCAAGACAAGAGAGTCCCTACATTTAAACACACACTGGCTCTTATCACACAGCTCCTCCATAACACTATGGCCACTCAGTCTCTCTGTATTTTGTGTGTGCATGTGTTTGTTGGGGGAGGTACTTTTCAGTATAGCAACCTTTGCTTAGCAATACTGCATGCATGTGCTTTTGTGGTCTGTGTGTTCATGCAAAGTGTACCAGCACCTTCTATACAGTGCTCTTTGTTCCCTTGTGTGTGTGCTTGCATGTTCTTTTGTAGCATACTGTAGAAAGAGCACTGTTTGTTTGTGTTTGTGTTTTTTGTTCATACAAGTCAAGTGTAAAAAGGGCACGACATCATTAGTTTATAATGTGAGGTTTCATGTGTTACCTACATTTTGTGAGTCAAAATGTCATGGAAACCTCTGACAGCTGGATGCCAGTTTGTTTTAACATAGCATACTTATTGTGGCTTATTTGTATGTGTATGGTTGTGTAAATAGGGACTCTAGGTTAAGTAGGTCTGCCACCCTATGACCAGTGACATTTGTCAGTATTTGACATTGATTTCACGTATGGCAACTATGGTATCTTTTAGATTAGAGATCATATTATCATTTACTTAAAAGGCATGGTTGTGGGTTGGGTTAGTTAACTAAGACAAACATTGACTCATTTTCAGGCCTTTTGGGGTCAATGGAAAATGTCACATCAGATTTTAAGTTTATATGGTGAACCTGTTTATATGCAGGGATCTACTGTTCACCTGCTATAGATTGTATCTCTGCTGTAAGGAGGCCGTGCAGGTAGCCTACAGTGGTATTTTTCAATGTTTTTGTTAAAAGCAGCTGCAGTTAGTGGTGTGAGACACATCTGTAAAGTTTTAGCCATGAGAATAAAAACGAAGAGCTGAAAGACACACAAACTCGTAACAATTCTCTCTCTGTCTTTCATCCCTGCACAAACTGCCAGTTACCTGATCCTATTTTATATGAACTTATTAGTTATAGGCAGGTTAGGTGAGGGTTTGGCAACAAAAACACTTTATATATCCTTTATTTAACCAGGTATAAGTCTCAATGAGATTAAAATCTCTTTTTCAAGAGCGACCTGGCCAAGAAGGGCAGCATGAACAAAGTTACAACAGATCAAACACAGACAATACAGGCAGACGAATACAGCGGCCGTAAAACACAAATGAAATGGCACATTAACCAGTCAATATGCAAATAAAATAAACTATTATAAATCATTAAAAACTGGCACAATTTAAAACGACTTCAATTATGCAATCACATCGACCAATGGATTATTGTTCTCTGTCCTTTAAGATGGACTTGAATTCCCCCATAGTGATTACATTTGACAGTTTCAGCTCCTTCTGTATATTATTTTTCCGAGCAGAAGGGGCAGCATATTTAATACTTTGTTGTTAGGGGAAGATGGTGAAAGTCAAGGATGCTATATGCCAATCCACAAGCCCAACCTCCACGCCTTTGAATTCCTTACATCACAATAGGGCACAATGCATTGGGTATAGGGAAACTAGGTTGAAAGGAAGGTTAAAGAAAAGAAAGTCAAGACAAGACACGAATACTGCATGTTTTTGTGTGTGCAATGCATGGATGCACTGATGTGTGTCTAGTCTATTTGCAGGCTGTTCATGGCCACCTCTGTGTACTTGCTCTATTTAGTCTTACCTTCCCCATTTTGCCCTTGACTTTGACAACTCTCTCTTTACACTCTCAAACGTCTGATGATAAATGATCACATACATCAATCTATAAGACCAGACAGCCGCGTCTGAAGGTATTAAGCGTCATGAAAGAGATGCCACACACCTACAGAGTGTGAGTTAAAGTGATGGAGCAGAAAATAAAGATGTCCCTTGGGAGGCTGTGAAAGGCAGATAATAGTCACTGAAATGCAATGCAGTTGTTTCTATGTCTTTGCAGCAACCATGTGATATTGTGACAGAAAAACTGTATCAGTGCAAAGTGTCAACTCTTGGTATACCTTACAGTGTTTCCCACAGAATTTGATTCTATTTGTGACGGCCCGCCACAAATAAATCAATGTACTGTATGGGAAACACTGCCTTATTAGTTACAATTGGAGATGGCTTTAGTGAACTTCTATATTTATTCAAGTGGCAGTACAAATAATGACTAACTTGGTTGACATGATTGCCTTTTTAATTATTGGCTTTTGATCACAATGTGGTGTGTTTTTTTTTAGATAAAATGATTTATTTCTTCTTCATTGTATGTGCACTCTTAAATGGGTTAGTATGTGTGTGTTTCTGCAAATCCACATTTCCTCACTTGTTATTATACTGTATGAATGCAGTGGGTTGTCATGGGAACTATCCGTTATTATAACCGTCAATGAATCAGGGGAACAAAATACCCTTTTCTGTGAGTGGTGTGCCCTCTCCAGCTGTGATGAGTGCAATGGGGGGGGGGGGGGGGGGGGGGGGGAGAGGTGTAACGCTGTGTCCTTGCTCTTTTAGTCTAAAAGTATTTGTAAGAAATGGAGATATACCGGGAAATGTATATTGGCAGAAGGGATGCCAGAGCTTGTCCTTGGCCAACTGTTTACAACCCTAATTGATATACAGTTTTTGGATTAAATATGAGAGCAGACATGTTTACTTTCCTTAAGTGTTAAAGAAAAAGTTTACCATTTCATAAGTGAATAAGTGTCTTTCCCAAAATTGAAAAGCTATTTCTTAACCTTAAGCCATATTAAAGGCTAACCAACTCAATATTCCAACCTTGAAAGACTATAGCCAGGTTTCCATCCACATTTGGCCCACATTTTAATCACATTTCTAGAAAATTATCCAAAGAAAATGTTAATTCATGCGCCATTACATCTAATACTCCTAATATTGGGAGTTAGTTTATTGAATCTGGCGCTAACTCTACTGTCAGCGGCACACATATAACTTCAGATAAAGAGAGAGCAAGAAGACTTAATTAAGGATGGTGAACAAAAGAAACTAAAAAACTATGAATAACAGCTTGATGGAAAATCACCTTATTATATATAAAAAGTCAAATCAAATCAAAATGTATTCTTGCCCCAAATCACAAAAAATGCCTCAAAGGGCTGTACAAAGCAATCAAAAGCAAAGACAAAAACAAAATACAAATATCATAGCATAGCAATTGTAACATTATACAACATCATACAACAACATAAGTATTGCCATGTGATAAAAGCATGTGACTGAAGTGATGCTAATGTAGATGGAAACTCAGGTGATGGAAATTAGTTGACACGGAAGACAGATGCGAAGAGATGGGTTTTGAGTTCGCTTTTAAAGGAGTCAACGGAATTAGCTTCGCGGATCTGAAATGGAAGACGATTCCAAAGGAGAGGTGCTCAGAATGAAAAGGTCCACTCTCAGTACACACCTATGTGGCAATGCCTGAAATACATTTCCAGTGCCTTTGCATATGCAAAACGCACACTGTTTTTTTGTTTAAAACTGCCAAAAGCAGCTGGTGAGCATGCACCTGAGAGCCTCTGACCCACATAGGGCCGTGTGCAGGATGCGTCCCATTTTTCCACTCGACGATGCATCAGTAACCCGCTGTCTACTGTCCGTAGGGCTGAGCTGGATAATGCTCAGAGCTCACCTGAGCTCACATTGTCATTATTCTTGATTATTCACACAGAAACACAAAACGATGACACTTTTCAGATTACTCATGCCTTTTTTCATATCCTTTTTTGAATGTCCATATGTGCACTCAAATTGCTTTGCTGGGGTTTTAAGGTTCACAGTGTTTCGCTTCTGTGTCTCAGACTCACACTTAACTACCCCCCCTCCTTATTTCTCTCCCTCAGCATCTCTCTCTCTCTCTCACACACACACACACACACACACACACACACACACACACACACACACACACACACACACACCACACACACACACACACACACACACACACACATACACACATACACACACACACACACACACACACACACACATGCTGCCTCTTTTCTGCTTCTGTCTCCTCTCCAGCTGTCTCATTTTATTATTCCCTCTTCCCACTCTCCTCCTCTCATTTGCCTCTCTTTCTCTTTCTCACACACAAGCTCTCTCTCTCTCTCTCTCTCTCTCTCTCTCTCTCTCTCTCTCTCTCTCTCTCTCTCTCTCTCTCTATCTCTCTCTCTCTTCTCTCCTAACATCCACCAGCAACTGCGCTGAAATGCTCGCTCACCATGCCTGTGGATCCCTTCACTTGACTAATTAGCCTTGAAGTGCTGTTGAAGATCATCATATTTAGCTTAGCGGCAGAGTGCAGACAGATATAGTGTAGGCTGGCTAGAGGCTGGGTGCCTGGTAGTGGACAAGCTCTCTATCTCCTTCTCTCTCTCTCTATTCTCACTCAGTGGCGAGCGACGGAAGCGAGGGGCTGGTTTTGCTTTGAAAGAGACGAAAAGGGGAAAAGAGAAAGAAGCGGAACCGAGACCACAACGCAACTACAGAATGGGAGTCCGCTGCAGGAGCAAATCCTCCTAGAGACACAGACTTGGAGGAGCATTGGTCATACAAGCAGAAGCACCGCTTACAACAAACAAAGATTTAAGGTGAGAGTTTTTCAAACCAGTAAATGCTTGTTTTATGTCCTCTCCTCATTCATTTTGGATATGGGTTTTTCTTGAAGATTAATGACTGTGTATGTAAAAAGAGACAATGTGTGAGTGGGATTGTGCATCTCAGACATTGTTAAACCTCAGGTGCAGTTACAGGAGGAATTATCTGCGGGGATATTTCTCTCTCACACACACACACACGCACACACACACATGTGCATTACCACTTGTTGGACTGACATCCATATTGACATGTAATGAATACTTAAACAATAGTCAGTTGTGCACAGACTTGTTTGTATGAATGAACCTGTGCAAAAGGTTTGTAGATTTCTGTGTGTGTGTGTGTGTGTGTGTGTGTGTGTGTGTGTGTGTGTGTGTGTGTGTGTGTGTGTGTGTGTGTGTGTGTGTGTGTGTGTGTGTGTGTGTGTGTGTGTGTGTGTGTGTGTGTGTGTGTGTGTGTGTGTGTGTGTGTGACAGCGAGATAGTGAGTGGGTCTTTTGTTGCCGTGGTGCCAGTGTGGAGCTTAAGGATGCAAAACCTAGTGAATAACATGGACAGCAACACAAGAGACGATCAGTCATGCCAACCTCATGCCTGATTGCTTTTTGCTGGTTTAGAAGCTGGGTACATAAAGGAATACAACCCCCTTTTTGTGTGTGTGTGTGTGTGTGTGTGTGTGTGTGTGTGTGTGTGTGTGTGTGTGTGTGTGTGTGTGTGTGTGTGTGTGTGTGTGTGTGTGTGTGTGTGTGTGTGTGTGTGTGTGTGTGTGTGTGTGTGTGTGTGTGTGTGTGTGTGTGTGTGTCAACATGCAATCCCTTTATCTTCTGCCACAACTTGTACAACCTGTTCTCTCCTTACTTGGTATCAATGAATGCCTTTTACAAATAGAAGGTATTTGTGTAGCTGAAGCTCTTCTATATCAGAAGCATTCACTAATTGGAATAGTGGAATATTGTTTCCCATGAGGCAGACAGGCGATAGTAGAGGGAAAAAATGTATATGAATAATTAACACACAACCACAGTCAGTGTAATCTGTACTGCTTTATATGTGTGTATGTCACTATGCCAAACATTGCACATATGGATATAAAGAAATATTTTCTTTTGGAAAAAGTACAAATATAATTTGAAGCAAGATTTACAATGTTCAGAAACGTTGAACATTTTCTGCAATAAACACGTCTCATGTGAAGCTATAAATAAATGATGATTAAGCTATGATGCGGAACGAAAATGCCAATAGGGAAATCTTTGGCACATTAGAGTAAGTGAGATTAAAGTATAAATGTACAGTGTAACAGCACCTGAGGTGATTTAAACGAAATTATGATCATATAATCCTCCAAAATACTACATGTTTAAATTAAAGGGACTACTAATCAGTTCCTGCAGATAGGTGCATTTGTTGGTGAGTGACTTACTTCACAATGTGTATAGACTCCTTTAAAGGATGTCTCATTTTGAAAAATCTTTGATTCTCAGCGTGATGCTTGAAGTTTAGTAATCTTCGAAGGAATGTTCAATTTCTCTGTCAGATTATACCGTTTCAAATGAGAAAAGATCTAAGTGAATTGGGTTAGTGGGAGTATTACATCTTTAATGCTTGAGTTAATAATGTATACACTGGAATGCTCCTTAAAACGTGTTGCAGCAATATTTAATTGCATTCTAATGAGCTTACCCCTCTTTCAATACTACTACTGAGGTGCCATTGAGCAAAACCTTTTACCCAGACTGCTCCAGTGCAGCTGCTCAGTGGCAGATCACACTAACGCACAGCTTTCAAGTGTGAATGTGTACATTTGTGAATGTAACAAGGCGTTATTGAAAAAGAGAGAAATGCTCTTAGAAAAATTGAATAAATATAGATGAAAGAAGATAAATACATGTTGTATATCTATGGCAAATAACGCTGATATATATTTTGTAATTGTGTGGACAGGAAATATTTATTCAGCTTTGCCCTAGTCTTTTATGTTTGACTTTTGAAAAAGGCTTTGAAGAATAAGATTCATTGCCGAATTAAGATGTTGGTTCCTTTCCTTGTTACACTTATACAAATGTTACTGTATCAATGATCAAGACATGGACGCATTCCAACCTGGAGCAGTGGCTTCCTCCCCTCTCACGACCATTGATTGAGGAAAGGGCTGACATACTGCATTCGAGATTTGCCCTCAGCTATAAAGTCAGAAAGATAATTGTTGTCAAGGAGATGAGGGAATAAGCTCGATATCTGAAGAGGAGAACCAATTGGTGTTTGAATGAATACAATGATGTTGAAGACTGCTGAGGGGCAGTTGCTTTACGATTGATAAAATCATGATTTCAAAGTTCTTAGAAATACTGCATTAGCTGTTTGATTCCAAGAGGATGTACTTGGAATCCTTTTGAGACTCCCGTGAACTTATCAAAGTAGAAGCTGACATTATTCATCAACAGTGCAGTCATTTGCATGTCAGAAACCCTGAGCATCTCGTATGCTTTTTTGCTCTAACTTTCCTCACCTCAACTCTTCCCCTGTCTCCTTCTATTCCCACTTTGGGGACTGAAGCTGTTTTTCCTCAACTTCTACCTGTTATCCCCCGATAACTGTTATTTCCCAGTGCTGAGTCTGCTGTCTTTCCCCCATCCTCGTCTGTTCACTTCTAAAGAGTCTCGAACGTCGGCATCATGACTTTGTCTCTCTCGTATCTCTTTCTGTCAGGCTTTTGTTTTTGATCATCGCTCCTCTGTTTCCACTCTACTTCTCCTCCTTTCATCCTCATCCAACCCCCTATACCCCCAATTCTCTTGATTGGCTACCCACTGTGTGTGTGTGTGTGTGTGTGTGTGTGTGTGTGTGTGTGTGTGTGTGTGTGTGTGTGTGTGTGTGTGTGTGTGTGTGTGTGTGTGTGTGTGTGTGTGTGTGTGTGTGTGTGTGTGTGTGTGTGTGTGTGTGTGTGTGTGTGTGTGTGTGTGTGTGTGTGTGTGTGTGTGTGTGTGTGTGTGTGTGTGTGTGTGTGTACCTGTATGTGTGCATTTTTGATGCACCTTGCAGAATGTATGTAAGTTTGTGTGGGAAAATTGTGATTGAAGATCTTAGGCTATTGAACCCATGGTATTTAATGTTTAGAATCACATATAATTGCATGTACTTAACTGGTGTCCTGTATCACTGAGAGGCGCACCACTAATGTCTTTTATAATTTCACTTGAAATTCTGCCAAGCAACACATTTTGCATAAGATTTTACCTGTGTCTTTCTTTTTAAGCTGTTGGCATTTTTGAGGCAATGCTTGACATTTGTAACTGAGAGAAACTCAACTTTGCAGTGAAAAAGGAATTGTTCAACAAATTGAAATGTTTTCTCTTGCCACTCAACCAACTATGAAACCCTCCAAGCGTCTTAGATTTACTCTTAAGCCCAGCACTGAATACAGAGAGACTATTATTTACTCTTCTGGAACTTGTAAAAAAAAATGTAATGACTCATGTCATGATTAAATCCAGCTGACAGTCAGGTCTTTTTACCTTTTAATAATTCAAGGCTATTATTACCCCCAGCCAAACTTTCAGTACAGGTTGACTTGGGATGACTGGATGAGTTGTCTTAAAACTGTATTTTCTAAAAAGGCTTGAATATATGGCTCTCCTGTATTATTTACTACTATACGCCTCCATGTTAGGCTTCTCTAACAGTATCTGCAAACACTGAATTTGTTGTTGAGTATTATAAACCTTACAAAACACAAAAAACACACAACTTCACAAACTGTTATCCACACCATTAGGACTTTCAGTACTGTATGTCTGTGTTGTGTGTGATCATACTGTACATTTGCATTTTTAAATGTTGCCAATAATGAAGTAGTTTGTGTTTTTACTGCGCTGTACCTCTGCATCCAGCTTTTTCAAACAGAGCAATTCAAACTCAAGCTTTGTGATGACCTTTGACCCCACAGATGATTGACAGTCAGTTGTCAGCTCAAAGGAGGGCGATGAGGAGCCTTCCTGATGACAGCATGCTGAAGACCAGCACCTACATCGTGCCCTGCTTCCTCTTAGTGGAGGTGAGTGATGGACACATTTGTATCTAAAGGGATCAGCATGCAGTACTGTGATCAATTGTTGTGATCATCAGACTTCACCCACGTCTGACTGTTTGAACCTGATCCGACCTGAACATTGAAAGTCAATTGAAAATAGTTTGTTCTTGCTTTAAGTAGTCATTCACAGGCAAAATGTATCACAGTTGACCTAACTTTCATAGGCTGATTCTGTACAGGAGGCAAGGTTTTCAAAATGCTGAAAGTTGTACATGAAAAGTGGGCAGAAATGAAGAACTTGGAGTTGCATCGAGAAAAGCGTGAAAGTCTTCTGGCTGTGAATCTTCCTCTTGTTCTTCTCACATCTTACTTCACATGTTTCTCATGGCAGATTAACAGCAATGAGTCTCAGTTGGGAAATTGCATGAATTAGCAGGCTCTGTTTCCAAATCACTGACTCTCAAATGCAGTGGTTGATTTGGTTTAGTTGAATGGGTAATTACTCTCAGTCAATGAATCATTTACAGATAACATTCAGCAGAATGGTGCAGCCATCTATCGCTAAGGTATCCTCGCAAAAAAAAGTCTCTCATGTGACCTTTTTGCTCGATTTCTTTCCTCCACTCCTCTACTCTTCCCACGACTCGACTTATTTCCCTGTAATCCCTAAATGACCCGATGAAGCACTCATGGCCTCGGCTTCATATCCTAATTAATTGGCCTAATTAAGAACGGAAACCCAATTAGCCCGTGCCACTGCGCAAACACGCTCGAGGCCTGCAGGTCCTCTGAGCTATAGCGCAACAACAGCTGAATTAGCAGTTTTCTTTTTTTGTTTCTAGCTTTAAAATACAGTCTTTAAAATTCCACCCTAAAAATATGATCTTGCTTTCTTATACGGTTTTAAATATTAAGATTTAAGGTTGGTGAGAAGTCAAATTGGGTTATAGAAAGTTGACTAGCTGAGTCAGAAGTTCAGGTTTAGAAGATATAATTACCCGAATGAGGAGAGTTGTCACCAGTCAATACAACCTTAAAGGTGGGGTATGTAATTTATTTCAGAAACACTTTTTGTTATATTCCATGGAATGCTCTTAACATCCCGATAGTAATGAATATCTTAAGTGCTTTGACAATAAATACATTAAAAAAAATTCATCTGTGGAAGCCGTAGCGCTGCAAAAAGCACGACCAATCATTTTAGCCGGCCCGGCTAAAATAACTGGATGGCCTACCTGCCTGTCAGCCTTCCATCGGGGCACAAACTTATCTCGTGCCCTCATTGGTCATGTGCGCGTTCGTGTGTGTTGAAGGAGGGGCTCTGTAAGGAAGTGGCAGATTTTTTTCGGGTTGTGTATTTTCAAATTCTAGCGCACTCGAACTGGTTTCTCCAAAATTACATACCCCACCTTTAAGGAAACATAAACTTGGTGTCATCCAGGTTATTATTTTAAGTTTTTACTGTACACTCTAACTTATTTTTTCTTTAGTGCACCTGCAGTAGCACCTGAATGAATGTCCTTAACCTGGTTTTTTCTCTCTTCCTTTGTACTCATTCAATCACTCACACCATCCTCTTTAGACCACAGCCTGTTTTTTTCCATCTGCTCTTTGTGCCTCATACACTACACTCTTTCCACATAACAATACTCTTCATCACGCACCTCTGATGCTGATGCATCTCTTTTTAGCCCAAATATCCCACAATCCCTGCAGGTTTACGGCTTGCTTTTATTTTTCTTTCATTGTGCTTTGGTATTGGCTCCTTCTCAGCATCCTCTTGAGGACTTGTTATAATGATTTTTCAGCTTCCTAATTTTTTCATAGTGCGTAATATCTCTAGGCTTATATCTGTCAGCTCCTCCCATCCTCCTGTATTCTCTTTGACGGTCTCTTGAGTACTGCCCAGTCGCTCCTTTTATACAGATCCTCCACATCACTCCTCTCCTGCATTCATTCCCTTGAGTAATTACATCTTTTGCACCATGGATCTCTCCATTATTTCCCCTTTACTTGTAAAGCTTCATCTCCTCCTCCCACTCAAAAGCATGTCTGATATCGCAAAGACCTCCTTTTTCTCTATTTCTCCTCTCCGGCTTCATGTTCCCCCATGAGTCTCTGTCATTTATTCTTTCAGTTTCTGCTCTCTCTTTTGCTCACCCTTTTCCTCTCAGGGCAAATAGACCTTGTCCTCATGCTCACCTCATATATCACACAGTAGAGGGTGACCCTCCTGTGGAGGAGGTGTTAATATGCACAAATCATACTTTCTCTGCTTTTTGCCGTTTCTGTCCCATTTTGTCACCGTAATCGATCTCTCCAGGGGAGCATCTATTGTTTTTATTTTGTTCAAACAGTGCCAGGGGTGGGAGATGTAAATCTTATTTTACTTTATTGGCTATATGTATCTGTGTACATTGCAGTAGTTTAATAAAGGGCATTTTAAAATTCAATTCCCTCCTCTAATGTGTTCATACTGAAGCAGCTTGCTGTTGCACAGCTCCCCCCGGAGGGCACACGCTCCTTTGTTGTTACATTAGCATCTCATTACCCGTTTCTATTCAATTCAAACGCCCCGTCTTATTCTTCTCTTGTGATCTTTTTTTTGTGATTCCCTTTCTCTTTTACTCCTTTTCCTCACAATCTCATCTGCCACTCTCTTCCTTTATCATTATATCCTTATGACATTTCCCTATTTTCTCGGTCATGCCCCGCTGTCAGTTCATCGCTCCTTTAATTTCAAGGCTTGTCTACCATCACCAACTATGAGTACTGTAATTCTCTCTGCCTGTTTCCACTTTTCACGTTTCTTCATTTTACTGTCTTCCCCTTGTCTCTCATAGCCATTGTTTTCCCCTGCTACTAGATTCAAATGTGAGAACTTTTGCCTGTACAAACAATGGAGAGTTTGCACAAAAGCTGCAAGGAAAAAGGCAACACAATGAGAGGAGTATAAGTCTCTCTCTTGTTTTTACTCCATCTGTCGCTGCCATCACTGTGAAGCTACGCATGGTCTGTAGCCTAACACACGCACTGCTTCAAAGGGACCCTCTTGAAACATTCATTTTGATACAACTGATTCTTGACTTGCTTTAGACGCTGGTATATGAGGGGGGGGGGTGTTGTGAGTCGGTGTGATCTGGGTCAAAGAGGCCTACTGAGAAAACTTGTAGCCGACTTACAAAGTACTGGGAGTGACTACAAGTGGACTCTTTGAGTGGATATCACTGAGCGCACAACTAGCAGCTAGTGAGTAGAAGTGTGCTATCAGTTGTAACAATAGTAAGACGTGATAATCATCAGTGTGGATGTACTGTAGCTGCTAATTCCTGGCACCCAGCCTTTGCAGTGTGTATCTTGGCTTTCCGGCTTTGTTTTTCAGCCCCGACTGCCAGCTCAGAGTAGTTGAGCCTCCTCCTCCTCCTCTTCCTCTTCGCTCCTTCCTCATGCCCTGTTGGCTTCGTCTCACTGTGGCACAGCGAGGTCTGCAAAGTCAACACGCTGCTGAGTATCCGACCACATAATGTTTCAGGTCCATGGCCCCTGCTGTCTCTGGTGATACTCGAAGGTCTCGGTTCACGTTTGCTTGCACTTCTCATTTCTCGGAAATTATCCCCTAATTTAATTTCTGCATAATCTTCCATGACTTCTAAATATGGTGCGATTCTGTCTTGGTGTACCAACTTCTAACTTTCAACAACATATAAGTAAAATCCTGCTCAAACCACGTTTTTCTAAATTGAAGTGCAAGACACATACTTACTTTTTTAACAATCTTTGTCCGATTACACAAAGTGCTTTAGTTTTCCAGACCTAATCAAACGTGGAACTCGGATTTGAACCCCAGCCTCTGGCATCAAAGTCCTGCTGTTTGTACGATGTTTACTTCTTTATTCTGATGTAGAGTGTATCAACTTCAGCAAACACCTCACCTTGCACTTTATGACAGTCTAGTTGTTGCTGTGTCTGAGCATGGACAGCCTCTGGCTTTTTTCACCTTTTTTTTTGTTTTGGGTGTGAAGCCAGCACATCATCGTTTGCTCCAATAATGAACAGCATCCTAAAAGAATCAGACCTCCAGTTCCCTACAACAAAGCTCTTCCTCGCTGCATGCGCTCACATCATCCATAATCCCTGCTGGGCTTGTTACTGCCTCAGCTCATCCTCTTCCTCCGTGCAACGTATTTGTAGCATGTGCTTACTCTTTTCTAAAGATGTTTTGTTCCCGACAGCTGTACTTGTGCCAAGTCCAAGACACCCCCCACACCGGCCAAACTGTGCTTACAATTTCTCAGTGTTTAAGCACCAAATCTCATTAATAAACTACCATAAGAGCCTCTTTTCTACACTAGCTCCAGATTTTCTTGCCCTTTAAAACATTTCCTAATATACTGTACAACTAGTGATGTATCTTTAACCCATGTATTTGGAATATAAACATATCTCACTTCCCCAAACACTTTACCTTAAACTAGAATATATTACTGGTTAATTCCCTAGTGTTATTTTCTACGCTCTAAAAAAAATTCAATTCAATATCATGTTTCCCTTCCCTTTTCAACACATGCATACACACACACACACACACACACACACACACACACACACACACACACACACACACACACACATAGATACAGTAACAGCTCTTATTCACTTGTTTCTCTCCCTATAGCTTCCTCCTCATTATCTCTCAGCTCCATGAATAGCACCTGCCCTCCTGTCTGCTGCGCTGGGATTTCTCTGTGTGGATGTTTGAAACACTTGTTAGCTGGCTGCCTCCCACCTGTTATCACTTTAGGGAGGAAGGGAGGGATGAGAGACCCTGTCCTATATATCACAATATGGATTCCCATCATCCGCAGATATTAAATAAGGAACCTTTCTATTGAGGCTACAGCAGCACAACCAAATGATCTTATCAGAAAAAGAAATATTAAAGATCTTTGCTGGAGTCTCCAAAATGAAATTGCTTATGTAAGATATTATCTTCCCCACAGCTTTGCAGTTTCTTACATGTCTCT